AGGTTGGGCGGCGAGGTTTTTGGAGGGGGGCGTCGGGTTGTTTTGGCAAACCTCCAGGGGGTTACCTTGATGGAATTGGGTTAGGAGTTGTGGGTAGCCCAGCTTGCCGTTTGAGTCGAGTTTGGCTGAGTTCATTGTATGCTATGGCTATTCCACATCTTGGTCAGTACGATTGGTGGGGTGTTGCCATGTTGAAAAGACTTACTTGATTGGAGGTACAATCTACAAATGGGCCGAATCTGGAGGCGACTACACAGGGGAATCAGGTCAGTGAGAATGTGTGTTGAGGAGACCTGGGATGTTCACCTTCGGCGTCAAGAGTGTCACAAGCAACGGAGCTCAGTCCCCTGAGCTCATCGAGCAGGCTAGTCATGATTGGGTTCGGGTGCAAGAGGGGGCGAACGTGGGGGTGAAAATAAGGAGTCGGTGATAATCAAGTAAGTGGTTGGACTTTACAGAACCTAGCCGTGAATATTGATCATTCAATGAAGTTGTTGACGACAGCAAGTCACTAAACCCAGCCAATATTGACAGTTTCGGGTATATTTTCTGACAAACTGGATGAGCGGGGAAAGTGCGTTGGCAAGCACCAGACCAAAACCAGTGATGACGTTCGGGTTGCAGCCGTAGTGCCGGATGCCGCTCCGGGGGGCCCCGCAATTTGCGGACCGAAGACGGACCCACCCTCCGGAGCTTCGGGCTTCGTACCCGGACGCAGGCATCAAAAAAGAAATGTCGGACAATTAGCACGGCACTTGAGATCCCGAAGCATTGCCATCTTGGCAGGAATATTTTTGTGGCGTTCGGCACTTGTGTTGTTGCAGAATTCGAGCTCGCTCTCAGGTCCTCTCGGAAGCTTTCTAAGTGACGCCCAGATCCGAACTGCCGGGATTGGTACGACCAGGCCTGTCAAAAAGCCACGGGCTGGGCCAGCTGGGCCATGTAACGCCAGATCGCTGTTGGGCCGTGATCGTAGGCCGTTGCTGGGAACGGGAGCTGTATCCGCTTAGCCAGCCGCACTGTGGTCGGTCTCTGGTGTGATGGCCCTGCGACATGCAGACAAACAACGGGGTCTAACCATCATGGCATGATGATGATGATGGAATACCTAGCAAGCAGATGATGATCGCGCGCGTCTTCCTGTGCTGTGTTTCCGTCAAGCTGGCAAACCGGACTCCTGGGACCAATTGTTTGGACTTGGATGGAATTTCGAGATTGCTGTGGTGCGATTGGCGGTTTAGACGCTGTTCATTGTTTTCTCCTGAACTCGGAGTTGAAGGATCAAACTGCATAACGGTTCATAACTTCCGTACGCGCGGCTAAAGGCAGGACTGAGGGGGTGTCTGCTTATACACCTCTGGTTTCCATCGTAGGCGCATTCAGCGGCCGCTCGAGTCTTGATGGAATTGTCAAAACGTTCAGCATCAAAAGAGATGACGTCGATTGTCTGTTCCAGGTGAGGCCCAAGCTCCCAAACGAGCCACAATGGAAGCTAACGTTGCGGGGCGCAATCAGCCACATCAGCTGCCACACAACCGCTTGGCGCGCGGGCCAAAAAATACTAGCGAGCCACTCACGCTGAAGCTGGAGAGGAGCTGGTGATCGAGTTTCACCCAAAAAGATCCAATTGACGGCGACGATGGCGATGCGAGCCGGCACCTGAACGACGATGCCACCGCCAATACCCGGTCTCAGACTCCGGTCTGGTGTTTTCGACAACAGCGTGTGCTGGCAGTGCACCAAGCGCGCCCTCCTGAAAGGAGGAGCCGAACGGCCTGTCCCGAACTACCCCGCGAGGTTCTTTACCAGGTCAACACAACCGCGCAACACTACCCCCCTACGGACCGGCTACTTTGTGTCGAACGGCCTCTTGGCTCGATTCAATGGCACCAATGTAGCTCCGACAGCATCGACGCCCGATGTGACCGACACAAGCACCTTGCTTCCCCACCGGAGGCGGCAAGCCGAAAGACGAAATGCCGCCGTCCTGGCCGGAGCCGGATCGGGCGGCTCATCTGCTACCAGCGATGCCCCGACGGCAACAATGGCGCCCGACGCCTCGTCCCTTCTCGCTGCCGCAGCAGCCCAACATCCGGCCGATTCCCTCCGACGAAAGCTATCATCTCTACTGTCACTCTCGAAACCGCGGTTGACAGTCTTGGTTGTTCTCTCAGCCATGGTCCCCTACGCTTTATACCCCGTCCCGGCCTTTCTCTCCACAGCCGCGACTGCCACACCTTCCCTCTCACCATTAACCCTCCTCTTCCTCACAACCGGCACAACCCTCTGCTCAGCAGCCGCCAACGCGCTCAACATGCTCTACGAGCCAGACACCGACGCCAAAATGTCCCGCACACGGGCGAGACCGCTGGTCAGGAGGTTACTAACCACCAAAGCGGCCGTCTTGTTCGCCGTCGGCTGCGGCGCAGCAGGCACACTGGCTCTCTACTGGGGCGTCAACCCCACCGTTGCCTTCCTTGGCGCGAGCAACATTGCCATCTACGCCGGCATGTACACCCCGTTAAAACGGCTTTCCGTGCTCAACACATGGGTAGGCGCCATTGTAGGCGGTATCCCGCCTCTGATGGGCTGGGCTGCCGCTGCGGGTGAGAGCGCGACGGCCGATGGGACGTGGAGGGAGCTCCTCTTTGCGAGCGATGGCTCCAGCTTGGGAGGGTGGCTGTTTGCCAGTTTATTGTTTGCTTGGCAGTTTCCGCACTTTATGCCGCTGTCGTGGGGCATCAGGGAGGAGTACAAGGCTGCCGGGTTGAGGATGCTGGCCTGGACGAACCCGGCGAGGAATTCGAGGGTTGCGCTGAGGTACAGCTTGGTGTTTATTCCTATTTGTCTTGGGCTCTGCGCGGCTGGGGTGACGGAGTGGAGTTTTGCTGTCACGAGCGCGCCGGTCAACTTGTGGCTTGTTGCCGAGGCGGTCAAGTTTTGGAGGCATGAGGGGCACAAGGGGAGTGCGAAGGGGTTGTTTTGGGCGAGTGTGTGGCATTTGCCTGTTGTGATGGTGTTGGCGTTGGCGCAGAAGAAGGGGATGTGGGGCAGGGTGTGGAGGAGTGTGATGGGGGAGCCCGAGGAGGATGAACTGGAAGAGTTTTACGATGAGGAGGAGTAGGTGGTTAGTTGTCTGCCTCTTCAGGACTGGGGACGGGATTCGGGAAGGCCGAATGGTGCCCTGGTGTAGAAAGCTCGAGGACTCTTTAGAGAGTTTATTGTAAGATTACCTGATATGTTTTTTATATTTTTCTTCAAAAAGCATGGGCACGGCGTTTGTCTATGTTGACCTTTGTCTTTGCATGATCGATCATCTGTCAGATGTGCGGGCGGTGACAGAACGGGGTCTCCATTTGTGGTCAGAAGCAGAAAACGCGATGATGGGTTCTGGATAAGGTAGGTCGCAGGAGGGGCTAAATGTGTAAGAGCTCAATCTTGCCTCTTCCTTTGGGTCTTGTGTGTTGCTGGGGCAGTACATCTCGGGGACCAACAGCTGGATGTTGATGCCAGAGGCCCGATTATGTCATTGTTGTTCTTCTCGGGGAATCCTTCACCTTGGTCAGCAAGCGTATCCGGACTTGACCAGCTTACTTTGGTCTCTGTCCCGCCGCTGGGGGGTGAATAATCCCGATCCTCGCGATCTTTGCCCTCCTTCCCTGGCGCTGGGGGATTATTCCCCGCAGTTGATATTTCTTGACCAACCAGTCTCACACCCGCCTGGGGGCCGGGTTGGATTCACTCAGATCCCCGCCCGCTGCTCATTATATTTTTGAGGTTACGAGATATGACTCGCAGCATGCATTGAATGTGTTATTTCCCGTTTGGTGCCGTGCGGAGAAGTAGCCCACCACCGCGCCGCCGCCATCTTACACTTGTGTTGTTTCGTTTCGAGGAAGACATTTGCCATATAGTGATTCCTCACCATTACGGTATTTTGCTCATCGCCACACATGAACACTGAACTGAACTGGAACCTGAGTTTACATCCTGACCGAATACCCGAGATACCGAATCTTTTGATGTAAACACCCCTCCCCTCCCCCCTGTCTCTCCCCCGTGCCACCGCCTCACCTCATCCATCAACAAACCTTGCCGTTTTCCACAACAGTCAACTTGTCCCAACTGAGCCTTTTGCTACGTGCGTACTCCACATACACTGGTCCACATTTCCAAATCTGAACTCTGGTACCAACGTGCAACCGTCCGCGCCGCCGCCCACCAACGGTCGTCGCTGTTGCACCCCCCCCCCCCAACCTGCTTCTCAGCCGCTCTCAGCCTCTTCGTCACCAAGAACCCCCACCACAATCGACTTACACCTCACCGGTTCTCGCCAGTTATTGCGGGAAACCACCCGAGTTAGATACCAAAAAAAGTGATCAAAACATAACAATTCTTCATTTCATTCAAATCTCTTCCTCCCATTATTCCATCCATCCAATCCATCCAATCCATCCCTTTTTCTTCTCTATAGCATATAGCATGACATGATAAGTAGGAGTTAAGACAAAGGAAAAAGTGATGACTATGAGAAAAAAGAAAAAAGCCAAGGAATGGTGTGGTATCTGATAGAGACAGAACAAGAGACAAGAAGAAAATCCCTCCGATCCGGAACCCAACGCCTTGCCAAAAGATGAAAAGGTAAGTAGAAAAAAAAAGGTAGAACAAAAAAAAGAAGAAACAGTAAAGCCCGAACCCGACCCCGATCCGGAACCCCAATTCCGAACTCACCCAACCACCTCCCGAACGCCTTTTTTGAAGCCAAACCCCCGACCAAAAAACTCCTTATCCCAAAAGTCAAAGAGAAAACCAAATCACTGCTGCTGCCCCCGATTAAGCATAGCATCAATCCCCATATCCCCAACGCTAGGCAACCTCCCCCCGTGCCCCATATACGGACTCGCCCCTTGACTCTGCCCCCCATTCTGACTCTGCTGCTGCTGCTGCTGCGTCTGCTGCTGCCCACCATACGCCGTCCCCGTGCTCGACACACTGTTGCTGTACCCGTGCCCATACCCCGTGTGATGCCCATAACTCTGATGATACTGCGGCATGCCCCCATAGTGATGCCCCATCCCATGCCCGCTGCTCCCGTTGCTGCTCGCCGCGCCGGGAGTGCTATGCGCACCCGTAGACCCCGTAGTTTCAGGAGAGGAATAACTCTGTTCCGCCACATCGTCGATAGGAGTGAGAGCCCCGAGCCCAATGTCATCGTCGTAGCTCGAAGGCAAAGGTTGACCAGTCTCTAACCTCTCACGACGGGCGTAGGCGCGGGCGTGGGATTGGATGTTTTTTAGGCCGTTGGACATGCACTTTTCACTTGTCAGTATTGGAACAAGCAAGAAAGGGAGGGGGAAAAAACAAACCTGCATCTCAACCACGTTCCACTTCTCCCCACACCTCGCCGCCAAGGGCTGCCAAATCTCCTTGCGCATGCTCATGTACTCTTTGCACAACCTCTCCAGCTTCCTGTTGTCGAAATCGTTCTGTCCCCTCCTCTCCATCAACCTCTCGTGTCTCTTCCTGCAGGCGTTCCCCGTCTTCCCCGGGAAGGCCTCCCGCTGAATCTGGTTCCAGTTCTTGCCCATCGCCCTCAGAGCAAGGAGGGTGCGGTCGTCTTCCTGGTTCCACGCCCCCGAGGAAGCGCGGTGCTGAGTGGGAAGGGTGCCTCCTACTGGCCCGCCCATGTGGGGTGGTTGGTGGTGGGTGGAGATCTGCAGGGACGGGACCGCATGGCCGACGGGGTTGACAGCGTAGGGATCGTACGAAGCGGCCATCATGGGGTTGCCGCCGGCGGTGGTGGTGAGGTCCGAGTAGAACCCGGAGAGCTGCCGGGTGGGTTGGTAGTAAGACATTGTGTCGGGCGCCGATGTGACGTCGGGGTAATGGTAGTATGTGTTGTTGCTATTGGCGTTGCTTCCGCTGCTGCTTGGTGCCCGAGTCAAGTTGGGCATGCTATGTTTTTCGCCTCCTCGGTCCTTATTGGTGCGGTGACGATCTTGCGTTTCTGTTTGGCCCGGGTCGAGTGTATTACCTATCAGGCGGGCTTCGTGGGTCGGTTTATGATGTTGTAGTTGTTGTTGTCGTTAACAAGAAAAGGTAGGCCGGCAACCTAGTTTGATGATGACAACAAGGAGACGATGATGAGGAAACTCTTCAAGACCAAATGAGACCAGAAAACCAGATGAGACCAGAGTAGGAAAACCTGACAATGACAAAATGAACAATGGAGAGGAAAAAAAGAAGAAAGGGTCGCGGTGAGGCGGGTCGAAGGGCTCGAGGACTGAATGACTGGCTAGAGAAGGCCGGCCGAGGAGAGAAGGAGAGGCGGTCGACTTATAGTATCTCAGGCTCAAGATGGAGACCGGAAAAGAAACAAGGGTGGAAAGAGAATAAGACCCAGGCTTTGATCTCTGATTGCCAAAAAGGGAAGGGCACCCAAGACCGGGGTAGGAGATCTGAAACGAGCAGTATAGTGACAGGAAAGCTTGGACTGATGAAACTACGCATCTGTATCTGAAAGACCTTGATGAGCGGCCAGCGGCCTCTGCTAATGGCTGATGGGTTTCGAAATGGCGTCTGTTTGAAGAGCGGGCGGCTACCAAGCAGACCCTGTGGAGCACGCGGAAGTACTCGTAGGGCGGTTAACTCGAAGAGGACCTGGGGGCTAGACAGGGGGGGGGGGGGGGGTCCGTGGATAAGGTGACAATAGAAGAGAAATCACCGGCCACTGGCGGCAGTAAGGACAAGAGACAGGACGAAGAGAGAAGGTAAGAAAACGCGAGATTACACTTGCAACGGTGATGAGGTGTGTAGGTAAGGTAGGTAGGTAGGTGTCGAGGGCCCAACAGGCTCTCTCTCACCGTTCGCTTAGGGCATGGTGCGGTACTGTGCCGTGACTTCGCCAGCTCTCGTAGATGCAGCGAGAACACAAGTATCTCGAAGAAGAACATCCCAAAGCGGGAATGGCTGTTGTGGGGTGCGGGAAGCGGAAGACATGCAGGCGTGTGCAAAAAATAGTACCAGCATCCAGAGAGCGGCTCGTAGGAGTTTACCGCCAGCCTCGTGCATACGGTACCCAAGCCTCCTCTCGCCGCACTCGACATCCATCATGGTTCTGCGCAATTGCCGTCTCAAGAGAGATGGATATCAGTCAGAAACAACAACGGAATCCAAAACCAACAAATACCACCTACCTATCTGACCTTACACTGCCCGTAAACAAGGAAAACACCGGACCTGATAATGGAGGCCATTGATGGCCTTGTGAGGAGGCGATCAAGATCCGGCCGGGCGATTCTGCGACTGGCCGACTGGTCTCACAAGGCCCAGCAGCCGGTCCTCGAGAGTGTCCCGGAATCCGACAGATCGGGACTGCTCACCAAGAAGGCATCGAGAAAGGTAAACAATGGCATTGAGCTCTGGCGCGCGACAGGCGGCAAAAGAGCGTCTCACGAGATTAGAGCGGCAAAGGAGATTATCAGGGACTGAGCATCTGTAGCGCTCGGTAGCAATGTTGCAATCGGAAGCAGAAGAGCAGCAGCCGTGGAAAACATCTTTGACGTAATTCGGCCCGGCAGCGAGGAGAGGTGATGTTGGTGGGTAGCCGCGGGGTACAGCGCCAACGAGGAACCTGCGACACGGTGGAATTCAGCTGGCGAGCCAGTCAGTATGGACTGCCAGCTGCTGGAGGCGTGTTGTCGGCTGTCAGTAGACGAGATGACACGAAATAAATCTGGTTCTCAGAAACAAAAGAGCTGTGGGATTGGCTGCCTTCTCCGGGCAATTGATGAGAGGAAAGAGACGGACGAGGATGGACGGGACAGAGGCGCGCGTCAAATTGCTTGGAAGATCGATCTTGCCGGTAGCGAGTGGGGCTTGCTTGTCCTGGCGTCCTGCCTTTCCGCTCTAATTTTGGGAAGGCGCACGTGCTCTGGATCCACTGGCTTGGTGTTTATTGGTTGGACAAGATCTGGGATCCTGTCGGCGGCAGGAACAAAGCTGCAAGGGACGATCATCACCGTTGGGAGCATCACTCACTGTAGCATTGGGGGTTGCACAGCGTTCACTATCAGACTGCCATTGATCTATGCGGCAGAATTGTTAAGGATTTTCCACTTGCCCCCATCCCCTCTTTCATGGATTTGGGGTCCAAGCTTCTTCCTCGTCAAGATGCGATGCTTTGGCAGTTGCGACCCCCAAATTGTCTCTTGCTGTTTGAAGCACCCACAACTTCTTACACAGTATTCCAAAATTCGAGGCATGATCGTAAATTGGATTGACTGCCCAGCAAAATGTAGACAAATCATCTCATCTCATCTCATCTCATCAGCCCCTGGCTGCCCAGTCGTTCTGCCTCTTTGGCACCTACCCGTCAACAAAAGACAACATCACTCCGCCTCATTCTCGTCTCAACTTTCTTTTGGGCAACTCCCGGAATACCATTTCATGTAACCTCACATGTGAGTAGTTCCGGGACTTGGACTCGTCAAGGCGTACGAGCTCCATGGGAAGGGGAATTACACACGCCTCCGGGGAATATTTTCCAACTCAACCCAGCGGCGCAAGCATAACAGGAGGAGGCAAAACACCTTGTGGTAACCACCCTTCAACAACCCCACCAACTCTTTTCATCGCTGCCAAATGCTGACCATGCCCCTCTCTTTACGACGTACCTTAGTCACTCCTTCTGCCCCCGACCTACATACATCTGACCCAACCACACCTGCATAGCACGGCAGTTGACGGAACGGCCAAAGTCAAGACCCGGCCTGACAGAGCGGCCGGCCCTAAACGTTTTTGTTTCGAAACTTTTTGACCTGGGCGAGACCAACGTCGACCTCGGCTGCGTTTCTGGTCATCTTTGTCAATCTCCCGCGTGATACCAGATATGCGTGGGAGAGATCGCGGTCCCGTCATCTTTTTTTGGTTTCCCGCAATCACTCGGGCTGCCGGCCGACGACCGTGACTCCTGCACTCGGGCCCGGCCTGCCTTCTCGAACATGTACTCACCAACATCCCGTGCGACCATCTCGAGAGTTTCCGTTTCACCATTCGTCTCGTGAGTCTAGCTTCTGAATGGATGCTCGCGCCGCAATCTTATCAAGATAAGGCCAGGAGATAAGATCAATCCCGCACACACCTTTGTTGGTTCGAACCCTGCCTCATCACATCCTTACTGCCATCCTCTTGGACTAAACCCCGGCCGGCACTTGGGTTTATTTTGGTTCTGCGATTACGCCAATGAACCAACAGAGTGGCTCGGTATTACATATGTAATCAACTGGACATGAGTTATGCCAGTGCAAGACTGTACAAGCAGCTAACTGATGCGAAGTGGACACCGGCCCGGTCCATCGGCACCCCGCCGGGACTGGTCGCCGGGTGCCGGTCACACAACCCCACTTTGAACCGGTCGGACACCGGGAGCAGCACGGCCATCTGGAAGGGCATTCAAGCAGCACCTCATGCTTGTAACAAGAACCATCTCGCCTGGTTCGCTAATATTTATCACAGCTGTGTCTCTTGTCAAACTTGCAGTCGGTAGGTATCCAAAAAGACTGCACCATCATGCATATGCAACGTTCGGCCAGCCATATGGTCGATACAGATCTGGCACTTGCAGCATCTCAATCGTCGTTTCATCTTCATAATATTCTGCATGAGCTGAATATCACACCCGGCAGTCTGGAACTTGGTGATATCGACACTTTGTCGGCGGAAATAGACTGGCCACTGTGACCCTTCTGCAAGTTGGCACCTGTCATCCATACTTCCAAACATTGGCGAGCGGCGCGCAATATTCACTTTCCCCTTCTCTCCATCCGTATGCCATGACTAAACGCAGCCTTATATACTCTCTGTTGGCTTCGCCTCTCTGGGCACTGTTGGAACACGGTCATGCAGATCAGCTGAGCCTCGATGATGATTGGCTTTATCTCGAGTCTTCTCGCCCAAATCGGTATCAATTTTCGACTTCACAACTGAGAATCTCCAACGTGCACAGCGAAGCCACCGATGGTTTCCGGGGTGAAACCTTCACGAGAATTATAGGTCTCTTGACCTCGGTGTCGGTCTCGGTCCCAGGAGTTTCCCAAGGCCAGTCTGGTTGGGGCTGGCGGCCTTCACACCTACTACTTTCTCACCTCACCTGCGTGCTACCCCTCATTTGATGTTTCGACTTTTTATAGACCCCGCACCACCAACATGACGGGCAGATTCAGCTCACAGATGCCGCGGGCAGGCATAGGTAATCCGGGGTTTCGAGGTGATCAGGAATCGGTCTTGTCAAAAGTACAGTCCCGTCTTCACTGCCTTTCCAATCCAGGATGTCGGCAAGCCTCGGCCGAACGTCTTGACATCTTACTTGCTGCTCCTGGCGCTCCATGGCGGGATAATATTCCCAGACCTCAACACTGGCTCGGGTTAGTTATCCCCGAAGAAGACAAAAGACAGGGGGCTCTTGCTGACAGAACAGACAAGAGACTGGCCAAGTGCGCTAACGCAGCGCGCCGTTAAGCCACCAAGCCACCCGCACGACTCAAAGCAGCTGCCGTTCGTCATCGTCTCCCCCCACAAAACACCAAGACGCCACACATCACGGCAAACTCCTTCTCTTATACCGTACAAAGAAGAGGACGAGTGTGTGTCTGCCGTCAAACCAAGATAACCGACAGAGAAAGAAGGCCCGATCGATATTGTCAACGGCTTTTGCCCAGCGAATGACAGCGTTTGGTCCCGAGAGCTGTCCAATGGGCTCGCGGCGGAAGTTGAAGCAAGCAGGCCAAGCATTTCAGGCTAAAAACCACACAAGTGCTTGTTTCCTGTGCTACTGTGTGGCATGACGGGCAGTTGCCGCGCGAGCGAGAGGGAAGATCTGCGCCGAGGAACTTGGCAAGATGGTTCTTTTGGCTGGTGGCTTGAAGAGGCTTCTTTTGTTGACGACATGTCAAGCGGCATGGTGGTGATGTAAGTGCTCTCTTTTTGGGGTTGGTCATAAATGAAAGAAGTCTTTCGGATTCTCAAATTGGCGGTCAATGGATGGACTGAGAGAGTGTGTGATGGTGTCACCGGGTGGTGATTACCTCCGGCCTCTGATGCTTTCCACTTTTGGCCTCCTCTGTTCCAATTCCCGAGTTTGAGCACACAGCATCGCATCGTCCGACCTGGCCAATGATCCCCATCATAATCCCACATTCCCCCATTCATCCGGGAAAGAAAAGTACGGTCACATTGACACTGTCTATCTCCGGAAGTTGGATTGAGTTTACCCCTCATCCCGGGAGCCATGATCCTGACCTTGTTGCCGCTGTTACCACCGCTCTAGACTCCTACGAACCATGACCGGCAGAGAGGTGCACTGGAAGGATGCGATCAGCATCAGTGACCGCAGGTTCGCACTGCTGATTCGTGCGGGAATGTTACGCTCGCCTGTTTAAGGTATAGAGACAGGCAAGCTTGAGACCCAGTCCTACTCCCTCCTTCTTGAAGAGGAAAGGGTGCGGACGGATGTGCCACGACAGATACTCGCATTTTGGACTCGGTTCCCGGGCAATTGGAAGATATGGGCCCATTGGCAAGCAAGAGGCGAGGTGGGTGGTGACACTGAGGTTCCATCCGGTCAGAGTCTATCTACCTTATCCATGTGGGCGGATGAAGGGGGACTGGTTTGCGCCTACATGAAGAGATCAGCAGTAATATATTGGGGGTCCTCCCCGCTTTGTTGACCTTTTGGACCCCTTTACTTGCTTTCTCACACTCTCTCACATGCCCTCTGTGGACCTGGTCCAGCGGTTGGTTTGATATCGAACAGCAGACAGCATCGTCCTCACTGAGACAGGAGCAAGTAAACACATCAAGCCAACACACCATGGGCGGAGCCGACGCCGGCGCAGGCGCATTCTACGATGCAGCCCTCCACAAGCGCGAGACCCTGATGGGCAAATCTGGACCTTCGGCCCTGATCAAGAACTTCAGGGTGTTCCGCATCGCGCTGTTTGCCTGCATTGGTGGTGTGCTGTATGGGTACAACCAGGGGATGTTTAGTGGCATTCTGGCCATGCCGGCTTTTGAACGACGTATTTGCCTACTTTCTCCTCCCCCTGTTTTCCAACCAACTCATGCTAACCACAGGTTGGATGTAGACATGGGCGAGTACGTGACCGACTCAACCAAGAAGGGGTGGCTAACTGCCATTCTCGAGCTCGGCGCCTGGATCGGGACGCTTCTCTCTGGTTTTATTGCCGAGGTTTTGTCGAGAAAGTATTCGGTTCTGGTTGCTAGTGCGGTTTTTATGCTTGGGGTGGTGATTCAGGCTACGGCGATTACGGGGGTGGGACATGATGCCATTCTGGCGGGGAGGTTTATTACGTGAGTTCCCCCCATCTATCATCACGAAAAAGGACAAGTTTGTTGACGGTGAAAATAGGGGTATGGGTGTTGGTTCGTTGGCGATGATTATCCCCATTTACAACAGCGAGGTGGCTCCCCCCGAGGTGAGAGGTGCGCTTGTAGCGACGCAGCAGTTGGCGATCTGCTTTGGGATCATGATTTCCTTTTGGATTGACTAGTAAGCCTCCGGTGTCTTTAAGAAAGAACGAAGCAAAAGGGGGGGAGGTTGTTAACAAGAGAAAAACAGCGGCACCAACTTCATCGGCGGCACCTCGGCCGAAACCCAATCCGACGCCGCCTGGCTCACCCCCATCTGCCTCCAGCTCGCCCCGGCAGTGATCCTCTTCGTCGGCATGATCTTCATGCCCTTCTCCCCCCGCTGGCTCGTCCACCACGGGCGTGAGGAAGAAGCCCGCCAGGTCCTCTCCTCCCTCCGAGGACTCTCGCCAGACCACGAGCTGGTCGAGCTCGAATTCCTTGAAATCAAGGCCCAGTCCCTCTTTGAAAAGAGAAGCGTCGCGGAACTGTTTCCCAACCTGCGCGAGCAGACAGCCTGGAATATCTTCAAGCTCCAGTTCGTCAGCATCAAGAAACTGTTCCAGACCCGGGCGATGTTCAAGAGGGTGGTAGTGGCGACGGTGACGATGTTTTTCCAGCAGTGGAGCGGGATCAATGCCGTGTTGTACTACGCACCCTCGATTTTCAAACAGCTCGGCCTGGATGATACTTCCACCTCGCTTCTTGCCACGGGTGTGGTTGGGATTGTGATGTTTATTGCGACCATCCCGGCGGTTTTGTGGATCGATCGCGTAGGGCGCAAGCCGGTGTTGACTGTTGGCGCGATTGGCATGGCGACATGCCATATCATCATCGCGGTCATTGTCGCGAAGAATATCGACCAGTGGGAGAGTCACAAGGCGGCTGGTTGGGCAGCCGTGTGCATGGTCTGGCTGTTTGTTATCCACTTTGGCTACTCGTGGGGACCATGCGCGTGGATCATCGTCGCCGAGATCTGGCCGTTGAGCACGAGGCCGTATGGTGTCGCGTTGGGGGCGTCGAGCAACTGGATGAATAACTTTATTGTTGGGCAAGTCACGCCCGATATGCTGGAGGGAATTACCTACGGGACGTATATCCTCTTTGGTATCCTGACGTACATGGGAGCGGCGTTTGTGTGGTTTTTGGTGCCCGAGACGAAGAGGTTGACGCTGGAGGAGATGGTAAGATTCTTCCCGCTCAGTTAACCCTGAATCTTCCCAAGCTGATAGAAACCTCAGGACATCATCTTTGGCTCTGAAGGGACCGCAGCAGCCGATTTTGAAAGAATGGCCGAGATCAACAACGAAATCGGCCTTTCTCGCATCCTTCGAGCCGAAAGCTCCAACACGACAGGCACTCCCTACGAAACCCTGCCAGAGAAGGGCAACGCCAGTGATCACTCCGAGCGTATCCAGGCTGTTTGAATCGAATCAAAGAAGGAGTAATCAATCGGGCCATGATTGGTACATGTTATACCCTAGGATAACAATCCCAAAATCTTAATCAGCGATGTCTGTTTTCAATTCAATCTTCCCTCCCAACCCGTGACCCCTTCGGCCTCGGCCCCATAACATCCAACATCCAGCTCTCATTCCTCCCATCCCTCTCCCTCTGCGCCCTCGACTCTTGGAGTAGTGCATCACACCCCCTCTTCCAAGCCTGATACTCGTCCGAAAACAACATGAGCGGCATCGCAGTCCGGCTCATGCTCGGCCCGGCATAACTCCCATGACTCAACACCCTTTCTTCCTCCTCCTCTTCCACCACCTTCTCCGCCTGTTTAGCACCCCCCCCCATCACCGCCTCATCAACCTCCAACCGTCCCCCTAGCTTATCCACCTCCTCCCTCAACACCCGATAGACCAATCCCCAACACCCCAGCACCCCCAACCTCTCCTTTTGCTCCACCCCCTCCCAAATTTCCTTCTCCAACACCCTTTTTGGGTCAGCCCCTAACCTAAGCAACCCCCGAATAGTATCCCGATGGGTAAACCGCCCCGCCAAATGCAACGCCGTCCGTCCCCTCCCATCCCGCTCCTCCAGCATTTCTTTTCCCACTCCCGCAAAAAGCTCCTCAATCACCACGGCAGGAACCCCATTCCTGGCTGCTACATGCAACGCGGTCATCCCATCCTGGGTTTTGACTTTTAGGATCCAGGCTTCTTGGCCGAAGAACCGGAATAAGGTAACTGCTAACTCGGGGGAGGGACCGCGGAGGGCGGCGTGGATGGCTGTGGAGTGGACAGTATCGCGGATCTTACAGGCGTGGGTCGAGAGCAGGGAGTGCACGAGGGGGGTGTTCCCCCATAATGAGGCGATGGATAAGGCGGTGGTTAGGGATAGGGGAGGGGGGCCGTAGAAGGAGGGCCAGGGGTGGGATTTTAGGAGGTGGGAGAGGAGGAGGAGTTCGGAATTTGGGGAGAGGATTTTGAGGGGTTTGCTGGGGGGTTTGCTGGGGGGCTTGCTCGGAGGTTTGCTCGGGGGTGTGGGGGGGATAGAGATGGGGTTGTAGGTTGGTGGTGGTGGTGGTGGTGGTGGTGGTGAGGTTTGGGTGGTTGGACAGGAGGGAGGCGAGTAGGGTGGTGGTGGGTCGAAGTAATCCATGTTACCCTAGGGAGTGGTGAGGATTGAGCGGTAAAAGATGTAGAGCGCTTGGCTGGGGAAAACAAAGAATGTTGGGTGAGTTTTGGTCGAGTAAAAAAGTTGGAGTTGTCGAAAGACAAGAGTGAGGTCATCCCGAGGGTTACTAATACTCGTTTGGGGTAGGAGCGGGGGGGCGAAAGTTGGGGGGATAAGGCCAAGGCAGAATCATAGCAGATTTGAAAGGCGGTGGTGCATATACGAATCACGATGAGGCTGACTTTATGCTGCCATTCCGACCCATCAGCAAAGACTGGATCAAACTGAGATTAATGATATAGAAACATTACTCCATATTGCCGTTCGTCTACAAACTCAGGAAATAACCCCCGCCCTCACCAACCACCCCCTCACACACTCTCTCAGATCCTCCTCCTCCAACCCAACCAACCCATTCGAACTCTCCTCCTCCCCCACCGCATTCCCTGCCCCATCCGCATTATTATACGCCCTCAGAAAATCAATAAAAGCCCTATAATCCCCCACAGCAAGCTTCTCCTCCCCAGCCCTTTGCAAGTCCTCCGCCCTCTCCCTCTTCACAACAGGGTACTTCTCACCCGTCAGCTCCTCCACAGCCTGTATAATCTCGTTCTGCGACACCTGGAACGACGACGTGACGAGATACCTATTCCTCGTCTCCTCCAGATGCTTCAAAACCCCGACAACCGCCCTGCCCACCTGCGCAAGCGTGCTCACTTGAAACTTTTCGTTTCCAGAGTCGACAATCGATGATGTTTTATCGTCAAGGTTGATGGTGCTCAAGCCGTGCTTCTCCAAACCCTACCTAATATCAGCATCCCTTTCCCACAACTTGTACTATATGGTGTTGTGTGGAAAAACTCACCCAGTCAAAAAACAACCCCGTACTCACCCCCGTCCACTCAATCTCTCTCTCTCTCTCAATCAAATAATCCACCACCTCCACCTTCCCCCTCAGTATCGCTCCCATCGGCCTGTCCCTCACCTTCCGCGTGTTAACCCCAAACTCGCTCGGGATAAACCTCTTCACTCCCGCAGCAATAGCAGCGTCAACAGCTAGTCTCTGGGCTGAAACCCCCGGGCTGCCGACTACAGAGACAACAGCGTCCTGGCCTGAAAAGGCATCCTTAAGGGAGTCAAAAGATCCAAAATCGACTTTGTGGACAGTCACACTGTCGGGGTAGGCGGGGGTGGAGTTGGTAGAGGAGAAACGGGTTAGGCCTGTGACTGTGAAGCCTGCTGAGAGGAGTTCGTGGACTATGGAGGGGCCTAGGTTGCCGGTTCCCTGGGGATTCGTTAGTCTTCAAGAGAGTGAGGGAGTGGGGGACAGAGGAACTTACGCCGAGGACGGCGACGGTTTTGACGGAGACCATTGTGTTTTGACTGGAAGAGTGAAGCAGTGGTGAAGTGTGTTTGTGGCAGGGGAACAGACGTGAAAGACGAAGAATGTGTTGGAGATAGCGATGAGGAGAAAAAGTTGGAGAAAAGGGGCAAACGTATCTGTTTATATGCCGAGAGTGACATCAGCCTATGTTGCAAGACTGGCGTGTGATGGCGGCAAACAAGCAGAATGGATGGGGTAATGCAATGGGGATGGTGCAACGCGGGGTAAGAAATGCGACGTTCCCAAGTCGGTAGCTATCATCGGGGAAAACTAAAAGACACATCATGACTGACGCCAGGGATGGAGCAACGATGTAAGTAAGAAGATGATAATAGAATTTTTGTTAAAAGATATTGATGTTTTGGCGATGTGGAAGAGGGAAAGACCTCAAAGCCAGGCCAAGAACAATCAGCCATCTAAATGATCTTGATGTCTCGCAAAGATTGAAGATGGCAGTTCACATTCAGACCAAATCCCATAAATTCTGGTATCTACCACAACCCCATCCCCCATCCCAAAACACCAAGCTTGCCGCTCCTCCTCATCCCCCAAAAAAATACATTACCAATCGAATACACTGTTCAGCTACGAAACTCCGCCGCCTTGTGCGCCAACACCCTGATATTATTCACCAACCCGCCCACCAATTCCATATACTGATTTGGCTGCTGATCCATCGCCCTCCTCCCCTGATCAAACAGCGCGGCCGGATCCAGTTCAACCTCCAACTCATGCTCCTTGTTCTGTTAAATCGTTAGCATAATCCACAGTGTGCCATAACGACATAACCTTACCTGTGATATAACTTGCGTCAAATCCACCTGATAAAACCGGTGCTTATAACACAACCGGTCCTTATCCCTCTGATAACTCCCCCCGCCCTGCTCCTTCACCAGCTGATCCAGAACCTGCGGTGGCCCATCCCACGTCCACTCCAGATTGATACTAATGCGACAATCTAGCGGTGATCGCGGGAAGTGAATATTGGTGTCCGCAACACGAGCCTTCACTATACGAGCTAAGACCTGATTCGTCTTCTTTTCGTACGTGATCCTCACCCGTGGTGGCTTTCGGCCAGCAAGCCTCGTCACGCACTTGGGCAGGTGCCTGTCCCGGATCTCGGGAGGTAGCTCGACGAATCGGTCGATTTCGCGGCGGTGTAGATATTCGATCGGGACGCGCGTGCGGTTCACGTGGGTCTCTTTGACCATCTCGTTCAGGAAATCGTTGAAGGAGCGGTGTTCAGACTGAAGAAGACACAGGTTAGCAGGTGGAAAGGGCGGTAAGGGGGGGGGGGAACACGAAAGATTTACCTCGGACATGCTACTTTGAAACTTGACCCATTCCCCCTCTTCCAGCACGCACTCGGTGTATATTGGTAGGCGAAGACGTTCCGAAGTATCCTTGTCTATTATTGTGCCCAGTTTCGCCTCAATCTCAAACTTGACACCCCTGGCCTCCATCTCTTGGATGTCTGGTGAGCCGAGGACGAAATGAGTTAGCCAATCGGCAATGTGTTTTGTGCAAGAGTCGTAGGGAAGAGCAGTGTTGACGATGCTGGGTTCCCATGGTCCTAGCCCCGACGCTATCGCGGCAGCATCCGGCTGCGGCGGCCCGGGTGGTGGTAGTGGTGCCGACTGGTGGTCTCGGGGAGCGGCGATGGAACGTTTTTCTTCGGGGGATGTTTGCCGGCTGGGCTGGGGCTCGGTCTTGGTGCCGTTGGTCTGATGAGATACCGAGCCGGAGAAGGGGACGGGGTGGAATAAGATGCTGTTGGCCTTGTGCAGTGGACGGCCGTCCTGGGACTGCGCCCAGACGGGCGGTTGTGTGTACACTTTTCTCCTCTTTTTCTCGGGCGCAACCATGGCTCGTCGCGCATTCAATGGAACGGCGCCGGCATCGACGAGTGCAGGGCGGCCGCTGGAGTCTCGCAGCGGAGGCGGTCGCGTATCGCGGTTTTCGAGTTCGTCGGGTCGAAGCTCGCGCTCGGCGAGTTTGCGCTTGGCGGGAGTCGAGGCGCGGTCTCGGGCGGCGTCCTGTTCTGCAATCGGGGCCATGGTGGTGGTAGGTGGTGGCGGATGGATTGGGGGATTAATAATACGAGAATCAAAGTCGGAAACAGAAGAACGAGGACGGCCAGAACTTCTTGGCAAACTGGGGACTCGAGTTTTGGGACTGACGCTAAGGCTCCGGTCTCTGTCACCGTGTGAAGGTGGGCCCCGGCCTACTGAGTCTCGACTGTGTGGGTCATGCTGGCCTGAACTTTGGACGCTCGAGTTCCGGGGCAGGGAAGGTGGTGGAGGAGGTGGTGGAGAGGTGTGTGGTGTCGAGTGCCCGTGGAAGCTTGGAGCTGGCAGCCGTTGTCCGTACGGACTGGTCGGCTGGCCGTACCCTGTTGACACCTGCGCAGGGCGCGTCGACAGAGGGGCGGCACCTGCTCCCCCTCCCGGCGTGGGTGGCAGCGAGGATTGTCGCTGCAGGTCCGGCTGCGGAAGCGGATGGGGGGCTGCCACGGGACTGCCTTGCACAAAAGGCGCGCCATATTGTGCCGGTTGGCTGTGTGCTGACGTCGGTGTCGGCGTCGAATGGGCCGAGTGCGATCGTTGGACATAGGCGTGTGGCCCGCCCGGAGTGCCAACCGGAGGCGTCTGCGGAACGTGCGATCCTTGCATATACGAAGAAGGCGGCCCTGTCATACCAGCGACACCCGTCGGCTGGCCGTAGCCTTCTCTGGGGTAGGCGCTGGTCGGCGTATACTGGTGTCGTTGCACAGGGCTGGTGGGGGCTTGCTGTGGTGGGAAAGGGTAGCCGCTCGCCGAGCTGATTGAGGAGGAGCCTGGTGTCTGCCGATACGGGGACGGGACGGGCCCGGAGCTCATGCTCGGGGACCGGAGCTCGGCTGGTGGCATTGGCATCGGCTGGATGGATGGTGGAGGTGGTCGACCGGCGCCATATGGACCTGCGCTCGGATAGGGAGGCGGCGATGCGAAGGCGCCCGATGGTGCCCGCTGTTGGACGCCGTAGTCGTGCGATACGTGACGGCTCGGGGATGGCTGAGGCTGCTGGCCGTAGTCACGGAACGACTGGTGGGGGTTTGTTTGGATCGGCGTCGATGGCAGCGTCGGCTGTGGATGCATCTGCTGCTGATGATGGTGCTGTTGCTGGTGGTGCTGCGGTGCTGGCTGCAGTGTCGGTGGTTGTGGCGGCTTGCTGGGTGTCGAGGCAGCAGGCCCATTGTCGTTCAGCATGACCCTGAGATCCATCTTGAACCACAGCTCTGATATAACGTCTTGATTGTTCTTATCTGTCGTCTCTCTCTACTTCCAACCTTGCTCTCTGCTCTCTGCTCTCTGCGCTCACTTCAGCTGATGGCCCGTCTCTTGCATGTTCCTTTATTCCAGACAATAGCGATGCGACGGCAACGGCGATGGCGACAGGATCGGGGCGCGATTTCGGGGCGCGCACCAAGGAGCAATGGGATGGATGGATGGTAGGTTCGGGATGTGTAGCTGTAGCTGGTGGTCATCGCATCTCCGTCGTTGCTCTTGATGCGCAGCCAGACAGACACGTCGGTTCGTTCTCTCGGATTCAGTCGCACATCACCACGCGACGCGGGCCATGGGGCGCAACAGGCGATGGGAGGAGGGGATGAGCGGGGCGACGGGATTTAGGTAGGGGAGCGCGGGCGTGTTTATCACGATATGGGCGTCATGGGGGCTGGGGAGGATGGCGAGCTAGGAAAAAGGTTGATGTGTGCAAACGCCTTGTGCCAAACGCAGGTCCGCCGAGTGGATTGTGGAGTCGCTTGCTGGGCTGGGACCTGGTCCGTCCGCGCGCATACGGTAGGTATCGGTATGTCTGTTGCTCTCTCGTGTCGGGGGGGGGAGGGATTTCTCAAATCACGGCCTAACAGTGCGTTTTTTCCCGCTTCCGGCATCGATGCCGTCCAGAGGCACAACTCACGAGGTCAGTGGCAATGGCGTGCCCTGAGATCAGTACAGATACACGCTGTCTACATTCAAGGATCCACTCATCCAGCTCTGCACCAGCTTGAGCTGACCGAAGTTGAGTGTTACGATGTACAAGAGAGATATAGACTGATTGACTGCAAGAGGCTCCCGTCACAGCCAAAAGCCAAAAGCTGACAAACACAAAAGTTTCCGGTCGCAGTGGACAGCTGTCGCACTCAGCGACCCCAGCTGCCCTGGCTGTCCATCCAGCCTTATGACAAAGCTGGGGGAGCATGGACCACCAGATGGCGGAACGCAAAATATAAGCTTCCGAACTGGCCATTGATTGGCTGACCCGCTGACTAACATCAGCCTTGACCTCTCTTGGCCCTTGTCCCAAACAAGCCCAAGGCCAAGCCTGGGCGAGGCAGGCAGGCAGGCAGAGCTCCTGACGTGGACTGGAGTCCAACCTGGAAAGCGCCGCTGCCAAACAACAAGCTCCAAACAGCGAAGCTTCAACAACACCACATTCTCAACACCACAACATCCATCTCGACCCTTAGCGCGCAGCTTGCTTTCGAGTCTTGATCTGCGAAATCCTCGCTGAGATATTGAAATACAATCACTACACCCCCCCCGACATCGAAGCGCATCGACACAATGCCAGGCCTCGTTACAGCCAGCGGAGTGTTGGCTTTTCTCACTGACGAGGAGCCCGAGCTCAAGGTCTTCGCCCTCAAGACTCTCAACGACGACATCGACACTGTTTGGACCGAGGTTGCCAGTTCGTTGAGTCAAATGTACGTGATTGTGTATCAACCGCGCTGTGCCTTGCCGATCTAAGCTGATCGTTTGTGTTTTGAGCCACACAGTGAGGCCCTTTACGAGGACGAGTCCTTCCCCGAGCGTCGCCTCGCTGCCCTCGTTTTGGCCAAGGTTTATTTCCATCTCCAGGCTTATAATGAGAGCATGACTTTTGCCTTGGCCGCCGGGCCCCTGTTCAACTTCGATGCTCCTGGCGAGTTCGAGGAGACTATCCTCTCCAAGTGCGTCGATCAGTACATTGCCGTCTCGTCGGCCCGCCATGTCCCTTCGAAACAGAGCAAGGCCAACATCTCTCTAGAAACCACCTTTGGCACTGGCTCCATCGACGGCTCTGCCTTGATCTCGCCAACCACGCCCTTCTCCCAGTCGACCTTGCCACCCAAGTCTTTCCTCTCGCGTGCCTCGACCGACAACACTATTCTGAACCCCACTTTCCAGCCAACCAAGGAGGGGCGCTCCAACTCGGTCGTCCAAATCACCGACAGCAGCACCCAAAAAGCCCTTCAAAATGTCATCGAGCGTCTCTTTGAGAGCTGCTTGAAGCAGGGAAAATACAGACAGGTTGTTGGTATCGCTGTGGAGGCCAAGAACCTTGAGGTTCTCCGGAGGGTCATCAAGCGGGCCAGCGAGGAGGGCAAGCAGTCCAAGGATAGCACACAGAGCCCAGCCGAGGAGCTCATGGACTATCTACTCAAGATCTCCATGGACATTGTCCAGGAGCGTGGCCTGAGAACCGAGATCCTGCGCCTGATCCTGGATCTTCTTAGCGAGATCCCTAACCCAGACTATTTTGCCATCGCCAAGTGTGTGGTTCACCTTGACTCGGACGAGGAGGCCGACAAGATGATTAGGCAACTAGTAACCAAGGGCGACCCGAATTCGATTGCTATTGCTTATCAAATCGCATTTGATCTTTACGACAACGCTACCCAGGAGTTCTTGGGCAAGGTGCTCAAGTCTCTTCCGTCCGGAAGAGCGCCCGAGCCCCCAGCGACTGCGACCGAGGATGGCCCCGCCGAAGAAGAGGCTCTACTCGAGAGCCAAGAAGGCTCGGAAGAGGAGCAACTCCCCGAGGAGACGGCCAAGGTTTACAGGAATATTCGTTCCATCCTCGATGGCAGCAAGGCGATCAAGCTCAACCTCGAATTCCTCTATCGCAATAACCACACAGACATCACCATTCTGAACAAGGTCCGGGACAGCCTGGAAGGTCGTAACTCCATCTTCCACACGGCTGTGACTTTCTGCAATGCTTTCATGAATGCCGGCACCACCAACGACAAATTCTTCCGTGACAACCTGGACTGGCTTGGCAAGGCCATCAACTGGTCCAAGTTCACTGCTACGGCTGCTCTCGGTGTCATTCACCGCGGCAACATCACCCAGTCCCGCAAGCTGCTGGAGCCCTATCTTCCTAAGCAGACTGGAGTCAGCAGCGGTGGCTCCATCTTTAGCCAGGGCGGCGCTCTTTACGCCTATGGTCTCATCCACGCCAACCATGGCGCTGATGCTCTTGAATATCTGCGTGGCCAGTTCAACGGTGCCGAGGAAGAAGTCATCCAGCACGGCGGTGCCTTGGGTCTTGGCATCGCTGGCATGGCCACGGGTGACGAGCAGATCTTTGAGGATCTTACCAAGGTCCTCTTTGCCGATTCTGCCCTCAACGGTGAGGCTGTTGGGTTGGCCATGGGCTTGATCATGTTGGGCACCGGAAACGCCAAGGCCGTGGAGACCATGTTTACCTATGCCCACGAAACCACCCACGAGAAGATTGTCCGCGGTCTTGCTCTAGGCATGGCCCTCATCATGTTTGGGCAACAGGAAAATGCCGATGTCATGATTGAGGGCCTTCTTGCCGACCCCGACCCGACGCTGCGCTATGGAGGTGTGCTCACGGTTGCCATGGCCTACTGCGGTACTGGAAGCAACAAGGCCATTCGCAAGCTCCTTCACCTTGCTGTCAGCGACGTGAACGACGATGTGCGCCGTATCGCCGTCATGTCTCTTGGTTTCATCCTCTTCCGCAAGCCCGGAAGTGTTCCCCGGATGGTGGAGCTCCTTGCTGAATCCTACAACCCTCACGTCCGGTACGGCTCCGCCATGGCTCTGGGTATCTCATGCGCCGGCACCGGTCTGGATGAGGCCATTGACCTGCTCGAGCCCATGATGAAGGATCCTACCGACTTTGTCCGCCAGGGCGCCCTGATCGCCCTGTCCATGATCATGATTCAGCAGAACGAGGTCATGAACCCCAAGGTTGCCGCCATCAGAAAGACTCTCAAGAAGGTTGTTGGCGATCGTCATGAGGATGCCATGACCAAGTTTGGTGCCGCCGTTGCCATGGGTATTCTGGATGCTGGCGGCCGCAACTGCTCGGTTGGTCTCCAGACGCAGACTGGCAACCTCAACATGCCCGGCATTGTGGGCATGGCCGTCTTCACGCAGTACTGGTATTGGTTCCCCTTCACCCACTTCCTGTCGCTGAGCTTCGTGCCCACCTCCATCATCGGACTTGATCACGACCTCGAGATCCCCAGCTTCAAATTTCACTGCAACACTCGCCCGAGCCTGTTTGACTATCCCCCAGAGCAAGAAGTCAAGACCGAGGAGGGGCCGGCGCTCATTGCAACTGCCATCTTGTCCACCACGGCACAGGCCAAGCGTCGCGCTCAGAAGAAGGAGCGTGCCCAGCGTCGTGAGAGCATGGATATTGATACTCCTACCCTTGCCAAGACTCCTGCCCCCGCCGCTGGAGACAAGATGGATGTGGACGACGACAAGAAGGCCAAGACGGAGGAGCCCAAGGACAAGAAGGAGGAGACCGGGGCTGAGAGAGAAGGCTCGGTCGACTCCAAGAAGAAGGCGGAGAAGGAGAAGGTTGGCTACGAGGTTGAGAACATGTCTCGTGTTCTTCCAGGCCAGTTCAAGTACATCAGCTTCCCGACGGGACGTTACAAGCCCGTCAAGAAGGTATGTTTGTCTGCACAATTCTTTGTTATGATAGGTGCTAATGTGTTTCTAGCCTACCGGTGGCCCCCTCTTGCTCCACGACACGCAGCCCGACGAGCCCAAGACGTTGATTGAGGAGAAGCTGAAGAAGGTGACGACCGAGAGAGCTCCCGTGGTTGGCGCGCAGGCCGGGCGAGGTGGTGCCCAGACGTCAGCCACGCAATTGCTGCAGAGCATGGAGGCTGCCCGTAGCCGGGCGGGATTGGGCAGCGAGCTTAACGAGATTCTCCGCCTTTCTGCCCAGGCTGCTCGGGAAATACCGCAGGGACGTTCTTCCTCGACTGCTGGTGGCGACGGAAGCGGAGCGGCGGCGGCTGCGGGTGTGTTGACGGCTGTTGATGAGGACAATGAGGGTGATGAGGAGGCGACCAAGCCCGCGGACTTTGAGTACTTTACCGATGCCGAGGATGAGGAGTAGATGGTTGGTGATGACTGTATGATATGGTAGGCTTGTTATATGCTAAGTAATAGGTGAGCGCTGAATACATAGAGAAGCCTGTGCCAACAGTTGTCTCTTGTTGGTCAGTTTCCCGATGCTGCAGACCTGGCGTGAATTGTCTTGATCTGATTGGCTGCGCGAGCTGGTCCCTGAATATCACATGTGGGGCGATTGATAGTGCCTGACGACGTCATTAATTTTGGGCGGCCATGATGACGGGTGCACTCAAGCTGCTTTTCAGTCAATTCTGTTTGTTAAATAACTGCCTGTATCCCTGAACGGCCAGTCAATACTCCCCCATCTTCAATAACCCATCACCATTTGAACACACCACATCATCATCATCAACAACAACAACAACAACAACAACAACAACAACAACAACAACAACAACAACAACAACAACAACAACAACAACAGCAGCAGCAACGGCAGTGTAGGTTCTTACAAATGGCAGACAAATACGTGCTCCGCGTCACAGCCGGGCCGTCCTACGACCTGTCAACCCACCAGCTCGTCAACGTCAACTCTTCCACCCCAACCACCATCTCGTCCGATTTGATTTCTGCTAGCCTCAACGTCCGCATCCAAAACCACCACCGCTCTGTCCCCCCCACTGCTCCCAGAACCTCCCCCTATTTTGAGCAGGAGCCGCACAAATCCAATAATGACCAGTACTCGATCGCTTTCAAGTTTAAGCTTCACGCTCCGGAGAGGGACGAGTCACACAGGAACGAGATCGGGGAAGCGGAGGATGATGAAGGGGAGGAGATTGAAGAGGATGATGACATTGGTGTAAAAGGAGGGGACTTGCAGTTCGGGAATGACTTTGACCATCCTATCCGTGACAGACTCCCGCCTGGGTTCGGGGCCGCGATGAGGATTGTCAAGTGGTGGGTTGATCCCGGGTTGGAGGGGGATCCGTACGCTGACACGCCGTATCTGTATGGAGTTGGGTTGAGTAGCTTTAATGCTGTGCATGTTGGCCCTGGGGTGGAGGATGACCCAAAGAAGGGCGGGATTTGGGTTGAGGAAGGGGGGGATGAAAAATGGAGAATTGAGAGGGGGGTTCCACGGGAGGGCAGGGAGAGGATGAAGTGGGGGTTGAAGGGGGCTAATTTGGAGAGGTGGGTTTGGGAGTATGGGAGGGAGTATGCGGTTGATTTTTATAACCCTTACATTGACTTTGGGGAGTTTGCGTTGAGGTTGCCTGGGTTTGGGTTGGGGATTATGAGGTATTGGGATGGGCAGGGGTTGAGGTATGTCTGTTTTTTTTTGGGGGGGGGTCTTTTTGTCAACTATCACCTGTCTTGGCTTTACACTTTTCAACTTTGTTGTGCCCCTTGCACCGTGGGAAAGCAGCAAGTGCTGAAACGACGATTGATAGTAACAAGGTCAAACGCTTACACCAGCTTAGGTATGTCCTCCGCAACAAGAAGACGAAGCAGGTTTACCTGGTGGTGTTGTTTACACTGCACCTGAAGGGGGATGTCAATGAGGATGGGAGCTTGAAGCCGGCTGCGATTGAGGCGTTGAAGAAAAGGTCGGGGGCTTTGGAGGGGGAACAGGGGGCGCCGTTGGCGGATGATGTTGAGATAAGGGAGGACGGGGAGGACTCGAAGAATGGGAAAGTCAATGAGGATAAGATGGTGGAGGAGGCGAGGAAGAAGTTGGAGGGGGCAAAGGTGGAGGCTGATGAGGATGTTGATTGAGGAGTCTTGGTTGGGTTTGAGGGGGCTTGGTTTGTTATGAGTCATGATACCATGTTTGTAATGTCTTTAAACGTTTTTTCCTTCCCTTGGTGTTTATTTAATAGAAGAAATGGCTTTTGATTTCAAGTTTGTGAAGCCGAGTTCAGTCATGTTGTCTTGTCAAGCGAGAGAAGCAAAAACACTCCTCCCCCTAATCTCCTCCCCCTTCCAAACCAACACCCAAGGCACAACCGATAGTACAACCGCAATACTCCCCAAGACCGCCCCTGCTTTGGCCTCTCCCAGATTCCTGTATATCAGCCTCGTCACCAGAGGGAAGGCGCCACCAACCAAGTTCCGACACAGGGACTGCGCAGCGAGGGCAGAAGAGGCGTATTTATGATAGACGTCGGCAAAGTAGTTGAACACTGCGAGGTAGATGCTCAAAATGCCCACGGTGCAGAGAAATATCCCTATTGCGGGGAAGATCCAGTGAATTTCTGGCTTGGCGGTGAAGCCAAAGAGGTAGAGGCCGATGGGAAGAAGTGTAGAGGTAAGACAGGAAAAGTACAAGCGGGATTCGGGAGAGGAAGAGGGGAAGTAGGTTCGGAGGATGGACCATATCTTGTCTGTTCCATTTGCTGGCGCTGGTGTTTCGTCCGACAGGGAAGATGTTGTCGTGGAAGTAGAGGTCAGCACTTCGCGAGGGTCGACCCATTTGGGATGAGACAGCAGCTGCTGCTGGTAGATGCTCATTGTGGTTCCGACGACGGCGCCTAGGATAATGGCTGTGAAAGCGTGCCCCGATTGCTCGAGAGACCAGCCGTAGACATGCTGGAATACATAAGGGATGGAGCCGAATGTCAGATAGAGGACTCCCCACGCAAAGGCGACCCAGGCGGAGAAGAAGAAAATGACCGGCTCGGTGAAGAGCAGGTAGAAAGGGCGGGAGGATGATATGGCGATCATTTTGCCGATAGAGGCGCGCTCCTCGTCTTCTTTGACCACCCATCTGACGCGCTTAATGGAAGGGCCCCTTTCATGTCTGCTGGCTGAGGCCGAGAACGATCTCTTTTCGTCATATCTGTCGTCTGTGCTGTCTTCCGAGCTCGTCATATTCTCGCTCGCCTTCTCCTGTCCCTGTTCGTCTTCAAAGCAGAGCCCATAGTAACCTTCATTTTCCAGCTCTTCGTACCACCTGTTCAGCGCCTTGGCTTTCCGGCTCAGCAGCACGCTTCCCCTGCTTTCCTTGAAGAACACCACAAAAGCCACCATCAACACCCCAGACATGATCACCTGATGCCACCAAGTCCATTTCCACATGTTCGGATATCTCTCAACATCTCCCCATCGCTCGGCCATGACGGCACAAACCATGGGCCCGAGCCCGGTACCGGCAAGGACGGATCCACTAAACAAGGCCATCGGCGTGTTTCGTTCCTCGTTTGCGTACATATCAGCAATAACACCGCCAACCATGGTGCTGAAAACGCTTGCCCCCACTCCAACCAAGAATCTGGCAACCAGCATGCCTGCGAGCGAAGTCACCACACCGCAGACACCCTGGAACACGACGTAGACGATGCCGGCACACACAAAGACGGGATATCGGCCATTCATCTCTGAAAGAGGGGCGAGCATCATCGGGGCAAACCCAAAGCCGACGCAGAAGGTGGTGATGCCGGCCAGAACAGGCTCAACGCTCCAAGGGACTGGCGAAAGAGATGCTTGTATGAGTTCGGCGGGCGGAGAGTAGGAGCCTGAGGTGTAGGCTGTTAAGAAGGTTGCTACGCATGACAAGAAAAGGAGCACATTCTTGCGATGTGGTGCCCAAGTTCGAGGATCAGCATAGGGCGTCAGGTCGGGTGGTTGCGGAACCCTGCTTGTTGGGGTGGCAGGGTGAGTATTCTGGTTGAACAGAGGACTGGGGAGTGCTGTCTCGAAGATCAAGTAGAGAGTGGTAATATTGAGTTCTTTGGCATGTGTGTCGACAGCCGTTGTCGTCGAGGGCCCGGGGCTTGCCATGACTGCTGTTGAGCCTAAAAGCTCGAGGAAAGAGAAGACGAAAGGTGAAGAGAAGGGGAAAAAGGAGCAAGCGGTCAGCTTCCAAAGCTATTTGGAAGACGGGTCAACCGGGGCAGATACCCCAGCTTCATTGACATAATGGAAATAGAAAGGTTACAGAACTTTCAGCTGTACGGGCCGACGGAACTGTCTCATCAATAATCCTGCCTCTGTCAGGATGATGACCAACCTGGGGGGATTCTGTGTCCGTGTTTAAACCCGGAGACGATCGGTCTTGGCTGAGATGGGCTCTCACCCTCCGTCCCCCATATCCACCGGCGGTGCTAGGTAATGTAGGGGGATGGGTGCCCTGGTTGGGGTGTTGCCAAGGCCCGAATGCCCTCGCCCAACTCGGCTGCCGTTCTCCAGACACGGGAATATGTCGAGGCAATAGATGGCGCAGATGGTGGAATATTGCGGGCCAAGACAAACATGTCCGAAAATGGCGTATCCGATGGTTCCCAACTGCATCCTCCTCTCTCGGTAGACATTGGACCTGGAAAGCTTATCAGATGGGCCTACCAACCAACTGGGGGCACCGAGTGGGAAGACTTCCTTCCATGAGGACATGTTGTAAAGCAGGGGCTTATGGGGCGTCATGAATCGAGGAATGCAAAACGGCACAAGACCACAGAAGAAGATAAAGCGATTGGACTGAAGCAGATATCAGAAGATGGAAAATCCTGGGACAATGACGACCTGGTTTGAGCTGTCGTTGGTGTAAACTTCAGCAACTCCACCACCACCCCGCGTTGCCGGCCCGCAACTGTCAACCGTAATACCCACAGCTTGTGTAAACCCGGTTATCCCCGGAATGCTTATGCATCCAGCTGATAGCAGGGGCCACAAGAAGGTCCAAGCTCCTGAGCTCTGTTCCACTGCAGATGACAAACCACATCTCCCGCGTCCTCCAACCACACTTTCTCACAGTCAGGAAGACCAATAGATACGGCACATCACGGGGGATCTCTTCTCCTTAATTGGTCTCATTATCCATTGATCCTCGAGGCCTTACCCCTGATCTTTCTCGGTCTGCAACCTACTTACGACATCGCTCACCCAGCACCGGGAAGCACGAAGCTGATATCCGGACCACTCTTATCATCGAGTTCTCGGCAAAGCATCACCGTTGTGGTTCACCACAACAGGATTCTTTTGGGGCAGCTCTCGACACATCACCAGGCACCGTTCTGTTTCGGGGCACAAAGATAAGCTCCAGAAAACCCGTCATATATTTTCCCATATTTACATGCCCAGTCCTCCTCCCAGCCTTCAAACGAGCTTTGCTATCGACAAGATCCACACCTTTTCGACCCCTCACCCAAACATCTTCACACTCCTGCAACCGCTCAGGAAAGGGTGGGAGCGCTGGCGGCCCATGGGTACCAAGCATCAGTGTTGGCGTTGGAAGTGCTGCGCTCCACCGAGCCGGGGGCGGTGCCGCTCTTGAGCAGGAAGTAGTTGATGTACTGGTTGAGCTCCGAGTTCTGTCCGCTGGGGAACTGGCAGTGGTTGTGGCCACCGATGAGCGAGAAGCCCATGTTGTTGGGCACGCCGTAAGCCTTGTAGATTTGGCGACCAGCACGCATGCAGCCGGTGGTGGAGACGGGGCCGAGCCAGTCGATGTTGTTCTCAAACACGGCGAGACCACGGGGCACGATCATGGCCGCGAGGAAGTGGTGATCCTGCGGGATGTTGGTGATGGAGCGGACGTGCGCGTCAAAGTTTTTGGAGAACCAGGGCTGCTCGCCAATGATTTGACTGGCAGTCTGGATGTTGGCGCCAGACGACTTTTGCTGGTCAGAGATGCGCCAGCAGGCCGCACCACCGGCACCGGACTCCTGGGGGATGGTGAGGGCAATGCGCTTGACGAAGGCGCCGGCAACAAAGGCACCCTTGCCGTTGCGGGAGCAGCCGGTCACGCCGAGACGTGTGGTGTCGATACCCGCAGCAGGGGTCTTCTCCAGAGCATCGATCAACCGGTCAATACCCCAAGCCCAAGCGGTAAGGGAACCAGCCGAGTGGCTGCTGCCGAAGAGGTCGTAGAACTGACCGCGTCCGCGAGAACCCATACCGGACTGGGCACCGAAGGCGTCGTTGCCAAAGGTGATGGTGGCAACGTTGCTGGGGATGGGGATGGAGGCGCCACCGACACCAATGATGGCGGGGAAAGGACCGCTGCCGGATGGCTTGCGGATGCCGGCGCTGAAGGTGATGCTCTTGCTGCCGACGGTCACGCGGACCTGGATGTTGTTTCCGCTCATGGTACCGGTGACGCTGTCGGGGGGTGGTGGGTAGACACCGAACTCATACTGCTGCATGATCTTGCTGATCTCCTCCTGGCGGCACTCAAAGTCGGCCTTGGTGGTGATCTTTTGCCCGCTGGCGCTGGTGAACGGATCGGGGAGCTTGGAATTGTTCTGGGTCGGGTAGTTGGCCTGGACGGAGCAGGTCTGACGCTCAAAGATCTCGTTGGCGGGAGCGGCAACGGCAAAGGCCGCGCTGGCCACGAGAAGGGCGGAAGCGAGATGGACCATGATGACAATTCTTGGGAGGAGACGTGCTGTCAGGAGATGAACACAAAGAGTTGGTTACCCCTTCCCATGGCAAGTCGTTTGACGACTTCTGATCCTTATATGGACTCAGCTACTCGCTCGGCCTCCCCTCATGAGCCCCATCCCGGTCCGGTGGTAGGGGCCAAAAAGGGATGCGGGAGCTGTGCCTGGCGCGGCGTCATCTGCAATATTCTCCGGACGCTTGCTTCCCTGCGGCCTTGCCGGCTGCAATCAATCATGGGTCGAGCTGATATTGAATCTTGGTCAACCCCTACAAGAATAATTCCTCCAATCCGCTTCTCAGATTCCTCAAGCGTGGCGAAGAAGACGGTGCAGCCTTGCTTGTCCTCCCTCCCCCGGGAACGGACGCTGTACCCCACCCAGATCGATGGCGATGGTTGACATTTGGTTGGTTGGCAGGGTGAATTCAACGTGGTTGTCTCCCGTCAACAGGGGTCAAATGCGTGCGGCGGCGGCAGAAGGCAAAACAAAGACGATTGTCTGTTGTTACCCTGTCTTGGCACTTTGGATGATGGCGGAGGCTGCACGTGTTCCCAAGCCCGTGTGAATTCTCGACGAGATTGGGGACTGATTGGGGGTAATATGGATATTTGCCGGCGCATCGCAGATCAAACACACACCTTCTCGTTGACCCTCGGCCTCTACTTCGACCGCCGATTGGCACCGGCCGACGGGATGCTTCCGAATGCAGCCACGGCTGACCCAGTCCCGATTGTGGGATTGACGAGAGGGGCTTGGGGCAGGATTTATCATCTCTTTTATTGTTGTGTTTGTTTCGTTTCCATCTTGTCTTGGCCGAATCGTTGAGGTTTCTAAAGTTGTTGGATCTGGAGAACATCGGTCCACTGATCGTCTACCAAGTGGAAGACGACGCTGCGTCGATGGTGGTACCTAATACAGCAATACCGGTCTGCCCCTGACAAGACCTACCAACATCCCAACTCAACCTGAGCGTTCCAGAACGGCTGTCACTAGCTTGGCTCCCCGATCGTCACGGGTACTCAGGCTCCAGTGGACCATATGTCCGCCAAGCCAGCTTGACAGATCTCGCAGTGACGTTGGGGTTCGCGGCAAAAGTCGATGGTGCCCCACGCCGGAGAATTCGGGGCACCCCATGTACCCCAGACCAATTGATTGAGCTCTCTAAGACTGCCGACATGTTGCAGGCATGCTGGCAAGGTCCTTCAATGCCACATGAATGCCACACGGCGGCCACACGACTGCCACATGAGTGCCACATGGGATCACTTACTCGCCACCATCGATACGCCTTACCTACCTTGGGCTTGGCGTGTGGTTCTTGAAACTTTTGATCGTCATGCCTGTTTTGCGGCCCATTTTATCGAATCAACGAGGCAATCAGCAGAGATCGTGATACCAATATTGCACTCATGACTATTGCACATTTTGTCAAAACTGCAGGTGCTGGTTGTTGATATTGCCGCCACTTACCCAGAGACCGGGTGGGCAGTGGTGGTCAAATATAGCCGCCATATGGACAACGCCGTGTCTTCGTCACAAGGTCTATTTATCTAGATTATGTGCGGGGAACGTGCCTGAGATCACTCCTGAACCTCTTTAGGGAAGACCAGTCCATCCCTGAGCGCGCAGCTCATCTCGTCCGGGACGACCGAGTTTTCGTCTGATGGCGAACGGGTCGTGAGTTGTTCCATGAGATTTTGGCCATTCCCGATCTGCTGGGAAGGGGATTCTCCAACTGGAGCTGGTTTGCGAAAGTGGAAAATATACAGCCATGTAAATTTACAGAAGAGGTGAGAGTGAGCTAGTTTTCCACAACGAAAGAGCCTCCTCGGACTTGATATACACCCTCCGTTGCCCAAGCATACCTGCCCACTGTGCCCAGCCTTTTCCTCTCCTACGGACCCCAAAACCTGACTTTGGTGGGAAGTCGTGATGATGGTACCGGTGATCTTGGCGGCATTCTTGGCTGCTGCCCTCCTCCCGGGGCCGGCGTCTGCACACGGGGGACTGTCCAACTACACGGTTGGCGAGACTTGGTATCGAGGGTAGGGACGGATGTGACGGCATTCCTTTTTCTTTCCTTCTGCTCGACCTCTACCACCACCAAGACACCTGCAACTTCAAGCGACGAATCCACTTTTTCCCTGTCTTGCAACTCAAGACACTGACTGAGAAGGCAGATACGACCCCTCGACCCCACCGGAAGAGCAGCTCAACAAACCCTGGCTCACCCAGCGCCAATGGACCACCATCGACCCCCTCTTCAGTCCCACCTCCCCCTTCCTAGCATGCAACGACCCCGGCACGCCCCCCCCGTCCTCCATCCCGATCAGCGCGGGCGAGGTCATCACGGCGGTGTACTACTACTGGCTTCACCCCGTCGGCCCCATGACCGCCTGGCTCACCCGCTGCCCGGAGGACAACTGCAACGCTGTCAACCTGACCGAAGCAAAATGGTTCAAGATATGGGAGGCAGGCTTATTGGATGGGACACTAGAGCTAGGAACGTGGTATCAGAAGAGTTTTCAGCGATGGGATGGGGAGCCGGGGTTGTGGCCGGTGAGACTGCCAGAGGGTTTGGGTAGTGGGAGGTATATCATTAGACATGAGATTCTCAGTTTGCATGTTGGGTTCAGGCCTCAGTTTTATCCCGAGTGTGCTCACTTGGAGGTGACGGGGGGGAAGGAAGGGAAGGGGGTGGAGGGGGAGGTCCCGGGGGGGTATCTGAAGGTTTTTCCTGGGGCGTATGATCAAGATGGTGAGTTACCTAGTTGTGAATTGGGAAGGGAAAAAGGGAAAGGGTTGAGCTGACGAGCAGAGGGGGCAGACGAGAGTGTTTTTGTTGACATTTACTCCGAGGAGAGTGTCAATACGACGGTGCGTCCAAGTTGGTTGTTGGGATGATGATTTCTTGGCCAGAAAACACTGATTCGTTTTGTGCAGACATATGTTATCCCCGGAGGTCCGATCTGGGAGGGCCTTGGCTTGGACTCGGAGGTTTGAACGGTCATGGAAGAGTTGTGAACAATGAACCGGCAAGGACACTGAACTACACAAACATGCGCTTAACAATCTGGGAAACGGACAAAGAAAAAAGCCAGCTGCAACCAAGTGTGAAAATTCTGTGTACCAATCTATCGTATATACCATTTCCGCGTCTCAATCCAAGAACCCATCGTACCCTCCCTCATAAACGCCATAACCCATATACCTCATAAAAAAGAACTCCCCCGCCCCCCGCCCCCCTCACCGAAAACTAAACCCCTCCAACCGTCTCAACGCCTCCTCCCTCCTCGTCCTCAACCCCCCATTATCACCTCCTCCCTCCTCTTCCCTCCTTCCCTTCCCCCTCCTCGGCTCCCACACAGT